CCTTTTCTTCTTCTTCCTCCACCTCCTCCTCCTCCTCCTCCCCCTCTTCCTACTTTTCCTTCTCCTCCTCCTCCCCCTCCTCCCCTCCTCCCCCTCCTCATCATCATCATCATCCCCATCCTCCCCTCATCTTCTTCCTCCTCCTCCCCCTCGTACTCTTCTTCTTCCTCCTACTCCTCCTCCCCTTCCACCTCCTCCTCCTCCCTACTCCTTCTCCTCCTCTTCCTCCTCCTCTCCCTCCCCCCTCCTTCCATCCTCTTCCTCCACCTCCACCTCCCCCTCTTATTCCTCTTCCTCCTCCTCCACCTCCCCCTCTCATTCTTCCTCCTTCTCCTCCTCCTCCTCCCTCCCACCCGCCCCGCTCGCCGCCAATTCGCCAAGCAGGAGGACGAAACTCAAGCCAAAGCCAAGAGCCAAGAGCACGAATGCGGACGCGGTCTTGGCGATGCCCAGCTCCTGAAATTCCGTGACGTCAGTGTCGCAGCTTCCGAGGGGCTGCCTCCATCTGTTCCTCAGCTTCTCCGTGATGCCGTGGTCTTCGGCTCTCGAGATGCTGAGGGAGATAAAGGGAGATGGAGATAAGGGTGGGAGAATGAGGGAGAGAAGGTAAACATAAGAATAATGAGAGAGAAGGTGGAGATAAGAATGGTAAGAGGAGAGAGAAGGAGGAGATAAAAATGACAAGATGAGGGAGATAAGGGAGGTGGAGATAAAGATGGTAGAATAAGAGAGAGAAGGTAAATATAAGAATGATTAAAGAGAAGGTGGAGATGAGTATGGGAGGATAAAAAGGAGGTGGAGGTAAAGATGATAAAATGAGAGAGAAGAGGGAGATAAGAATGACAAGAAGAACGAAAGAAGATAAATATAAGATTAATGAGAGAGAAGGTGGAGATAAGAATAACGTGATAAAATAAAATGAGGGAAAAGGGAGATGAAGGTAACGATAAGGATAACATAAAGAGATAAAAAAAAAGAGAGATAAAGATTAAAACAGATTAGGATACGAAGAGGTAAGGAGAGAGATGAAGATAAAGATGAAGCGAGAGATAGCGATAACATAAGAAAAAGACAGGGAGGAGAGAAAGATGAAGATGAGAAAAGAGAAGCGATAAAGATACGGCGATAAAGGAAGGAAAGATGTGAGAAAAAAAGAGAAGACGATAATATAGGAACAAAGACGAAGATAACGGATGTGAATATGAAGATAAGGTAATTAGATAAGAAAGGAGGAATTAAGATAAGATAATAAAGATACAGATAGAGATACAGATACAAAATACATGATAGATAACGATTGAAATTTTAGTCAGATAACGAAATGAATTTTTCCAAATGTAATTAATTTTCACAAATATATTTCCTGAGATTTTTTGTTTTAATATAGATGCGTAGTAATAAGAGCTTTGATAAAGTTGATTCATTATTTCCAAAGTTTATGAATATGTGATAATTTATACTAATTTACTTTGTATATATATATATATATATATATATATATATATATATATATATATATATATATATATATATATATATATATATTTTTTTTTTTTTTTTTTTTTTTTTTTTTTTTATTTTTTTCTTTTTTCAAAGCACTCTTTACTTTACTTTTTCGTCTCTTCCTCTTCACACGTTCTCCTCCACCTCTTCTTCCTCCTCTTTTTCTTTCTTTTTCTTCTTACCATCTTTATCATCATCTTCACTCTCATCTTTCCTCTTTTTTCCAATCAGCTTTTATTTCTCTTTCCTTTTTATCTCTTCTCCTCACACTTCTCCTCTTCTTCCATTTTATATTTTATTCATGATGATAATAACAATGACAATAACAATAATAATAACAATAATAATAATAGTAATAATAGTAATAATAATAATAATAGTAATAATGATAATAATAATAATAATAATAATGGTAATAATGATGATGATCATCATCATGATAATGATAATGATAATGATAATGATAATGATAATAATAATAATAATAATAATAATAATAATAATAACAATAATAATAATAATAATAATAATAATAATAATAATAATGCTGATGGTTAACAATTCTAAATAATAAATTATTTCGTTTTTTTCATTCGTTTTCATTCGATGTATATACATTTGAATTAGATATATATATTTGAATTAAGTATTGCGGATTAATGAAAGCTAATAATCATAAAATGTGATGAGTAATCTCGCAAACCCAAATAAAGGAAGAAAAAGTTAAATCATAATCATCATAACAATAATAATAATGGCAAAAATAATAATAACCTTTATTGTATTTCCTCGACCGTATCTATTTTGCAGTCAGTGGCTATATTTAGTAACTTACCGCCTCACTTACTCACTCACTCACTCTTTCTATTTCTCTCTCTCTCTCTCTCTCTCTCTCTCTCTCTCTCTCTCTCTCTCTCTCTCTCTCTCTCCGTCCTTCTCTCCCTCGCTTGTTCTCTTTCTCTCTCTTTCTCTATCTCTCTCTTCACCCCCCTCCCTATCTCTCTCTCTCTCTTTCTCTCTCTCTCTCTCTCTCTCTCTCTCTCTCTCTCTCTCTCTCTCTCTCTTCACCCTCCTCCCTCTCTCTCTCTCTCTCTCTCTCTCTCTCTCTCTCTCTCTCTCTCTCTCTCTCTCTCTCTCTCTCTCTCTCTCTCTCTCTCTCTCTCTCTCACCTCCTTCGCCATCCTAGTTCCCACGGTCAATGGCTAAACCAGATTCACCTCTGATAACCTGTCCTCCACATACAGTATATTCCGCACAAGAGCGCCTTTGCTTCGCTCTCTCTCGAGTAGCCAATAACATGAGACGGTTCCAGAGCACCTTGATGTCATGGGCAACTTTGATGGTTTCTGTGGACAACATATCAAGTCAAAACCGTCGTGTGTGTTGGGGGGGGGGGGGGGGGGGGTGTAAGAGTGTGTGTATGTGTGTGTGTGTGTGTGTGTGTGTGTGTGTGTGTGTGTATGTGTATGTGTGTGTGTATATGTGTGTGTGTGTGTGTGTGTGTGTGTGTGTGTGTGTGTGTGTGTGTGTGTGTGCGTGTGTGTGTGTGTACGTGTGTGTGTATATGTTTGTGTGTGTGTGTGTGTGTGTTTGTGTGTGTGTGTGTGTGTATGTGCGCATGTGTGTGTGTTTGATTATGTACGTGTGTGTGTGTGTGTGTGTGTGTGTGTGTGTGTGTGTGTATGTATGTGTGTGTGTATGTATGTGTGTGTGTGTGTATGTGTGTGTGTGTGTGTGTGTGTGTGTGTGTGTGTGTGTGTGTGTGTGTGTGTGTGTGTGTATGTATGTATGTATGTGTGTGTGTATGTATGTGTGTGTGTGTGTATGTGTGTGTGTGTGTGTGTGTGTGTGTGTGTGTTTATGTGTGTTTGTGTACGTGTGTGTGTGTGTGTAGGTTTGTGTGTGTGTGTGTGTGTGCATGTGGCTAAAGCAGGAGCCACAAACGGGCTTAAACTAGGAACACGGTAGAGCAATTAGTTGCATCTACATATGCAAATCGAAAGCAAGCAGCGAATCTCACATAAGGCTTTACCCCCCAACGGTAATCCGCCTGGGTCATCTTCGGCCAAATGCTGCTATAAATCAGCAGATTTTTGGCGTCATATATACTTTTTGTTTGCTTGTTTGTTTGTGTTTTCTTTTTACAATCGTAGTAAACGCAGTGACATTTCTTGTTTGCAGGGTGCTCTTTGTTTACAAGATGATGCCTAAGGCTGTGGTATACAGTAAGGCAGGAACAAATACAAAAGTCTACGCGATCAAAACCCACATTTCAATAACTGGATAAGTTGGTAAATGAACACTTTACCTACTTATCAGTAGAGCAACTCAATACTTTTGTGTCTATTTTTTTGGACAAACATATTTTATATTCATCTGTAAAAAAAGACAACAGAAGCAGTTTCATGAAGAGACATTTTAACAAGGTTCTATATACTAGGGTTTTTACTAAAATGTTAAGCATTTCTAAGCGCCAAGAATTACTTATTCTTTCCACACTAACGAGAATGAACTCATGATAAATAAATAAACTCATTAAATAAACATATATACCAGTGAATAAACAAACAGACAAATAAATGAATACATAGATACATAGCCACAGAGTTGACAAGATTTTTTTGCACACTCTTATGTTACTTACTAATGCGACAAGACGTTAGCGAAGGGAAGGTTCTTCCTGTAGCCGAGATGAACGTATTCTGTGAAATAGGTGTGGCCAACCCAAGTGTAGTTACAGCTTTCTTGTACTGCATAGTTGACCATTCCTTCGTTGTGGAAAAAAAGCGCTTTCTGTCGAAGGGAGAAACGAGACGAAATCATTTTTCTTTTTTTGGATTCTTTCTCCTTTTCTTTTTCTTTTTATGTTGCTTGAATATTTTTTTTGTTTTGTTTTGTTTTTTGCTTTTAGTTGGTTTGTTTGCTTTGTGATGTAATATTCTCTTAGCCTGGTTGAACTTCCCGTTGCTTTTTGTTTTTGTTGTTTATAATGTTATATTTTCTGTAGGGTTGTTGATATATGGATCTGTTTAACGAATTGTCTGGATGTTTGTTTACTTTTATATCAATCTAATTCCTAAAACTAATAACATAGAAAAAGAGAATGCGTTTGGAATCTCGGGTGACTAAAGTAAATTACGACAGATAAAGAAAACGGGAAAGTCACTCTATTAGGGGAAAACACAAGTAAATATGTAAGTAAGAAAACAAGTAAATATGTAAGTAAGAAAACAAGTAAATATGTAAGTAAGAAAACAAGTAAATATGCTGGCAAATAAATCAATTTGTAATGGACACCTCCCCCCCTTTCCGTTCCTACAAACAAATACAATATAACATGTTAATACAAGCAAAAATCACAGGAAAAAATATAGGTACAATCTTACCTCCGACGTATGAAGAGCATTTATGCCTTCTTCAATGCTGTCGACAATTCGCTCCTCAGAGTTCTCGATCAGCTGACGGTAAGCAAGTCTCAGGCCCTCGTCGCGAGCGGTCTGGGGGGGAAGGGGGGAGGGGAAAGAGAGGGTGATAAAAGAGGGGATAGGAGGAATTTAGAATGGGAAGTGGGGATAGGAGGAATTTAGAATGAAGGGAGGGATGGTAGAGGAAGTGAGAGAGGAAGGGATGGGGAGGGAGGGAGAGAGAGAGAGAGAGAGAGAGAGAGAGAGAGAGAGAAAAGAACGAAAGAGATAGACAAAAAAAGGAATGTAGGAACGAGAAAGAGAGAGAATGAAAATAGAGAGAGAGAGAGTCAGAGAGAATAACGATAGAGATAGATAGAGGGTGAATGTGGGAGCGAGAAGGAGAAACGATGGGAGTAAGAAATAGGTAGAAAAAGTACATACATACATAAATACATATAGAGAGAGAGATCGTGAAAATAAGCTATTTGACTTACATGTATTGACAATTGCAGTCATAGGAACAGATTCACTCTTGTTCAATTAATTGGAATTTCTTGGAATTACAAAACCGTTGTCGATTGATTTGGCCATTGCAAAGGGAAATGGACGCGGGGTGATAAAGCTTTGAAGCCATATTGAAATGAATGATATAATAGCCACAGAATTGGTGTAATAAAAAAAACAGCTGCACTGCGCATATTGAAAATACGCACAAATACACACTCAGAAATAAAAAACATAAATGTAAACGCAAACACACATACAGGAAAACAGAGATACACACACAGACACACATAAAAGACTAGAGGTGAAAGAGATATGGTCATTGTCTATTATTATCATTATTAACATTACTATCATTATCAGTGTTATTATTACTATCATTATCAGTGTTATTATTACTATCATTATTATTATTACCATTATCATTATCACTGGTTATATTATCATCATTATTATTATTATCATTGTTGCTATTATCATTATCATTGTTGCTATTATCATTATCATAATTATCATTATCATCATTATCATTATTATATGACTTCCATATCATATACTGTAAAAATATATACAAATACATTACTGTATTTGTGCATGTGTGATATTTCTCTTTATGCTTACCCTTTTAAGGAATGCCGCCCAAACATACATCGGCGAAAATGGTAAGTTTTCGGCAAAAGAATTTTTTTTTTTTTTTTTTTTTTTTTTTTTTGTATGTGTGTGAAGTTGTGTGTGTGTGTTTTTGCTGTTGTTGTGTGTTTTTTGTTGTTGTTGTGTGTGTTTTTGTTGTTGTTGTTGTGTGTGCGTGTGTGTGTGTGGGTGTGTTAGAATGTGTAAATATATGTATTTGTATGTTGTTGTTTTTTCACATTGCCACTTTCTTATCTGTACATTCTGCCCACTTCTCCTCCACTCCTCTTTTACCCCTCTTTGCAAAAGCCCTAATTTGGTAAACTTGGGCAAAATCTCGCATTTTTTTTCTCATATAATTATGTAATTACAGTAGAATACTTATTTCCTTTCAAATCTATAATAACTTCGAAAGCCCTTTTTATACACTGAAAATGATTTTAAAAAAAAGAAATATTCCTCAAGAAAATATTTCCTGAACTGAGAGCTATTAATGTGAGCGCTGTCAATGAATACTTGTCATAATCAAATAAACTCAATCTGAGAAGTTTATATTTTATATAGATGGTATAGTTATGATACATGAAAACCATGCAGCTGAAGAATAGATGTTTTTTACGAAGGAAATGTAAAATCATATTCACTTTATTACATCCTGTGGTCACACATACGAACTTAGATCTGTAGTTAGAGAAAATATATTTACGTTCACAACATAACCATAACATCGAATAACTCGCAGTATAATTTTTTTCATAATGTTACCGGAATGTACATATAGCTGTACGGTTGTTTGTATGCCATAATGTTATACAGGCCTGCCCTTAATACCACAAATACTTTATCTGATAAGTCTAATAAATGGTCAAAGCCTGATATAGATCAAATTTAAATAAAATACATGATAGTAACATTCAAATGAAGTGTTCACATTTCAGCTTCATTATTTAATTACGGGGTATTTATATGCAGATAAAATATTTGAATGACAAGTCTAGCGACACCTGGTATTTCTGTTTTCTTTTGATACGCAGTTTGTAAAATCGCTGCCCATCCTAACCTCCCTCATTCCCCTCTACCAACTATCCCAACCCCCCCCCCCCTCCCTCTACCTCCTATCCACGTAGCCATCCACCCTTTATTTTCCTGCCCATCCATACATCCCTACTCCTCCCCGGAAACCGAAGGTCCTTGCATCCAATCCTTCCTTTTATCTCTCCCTCTTCCCTATCCCACTCATCACCCTTCTGATAAACCCCCTATCTCCTCTTACCTACCTTCACCTTTTATCACTTACGTATCTCCATCCCTTATCATCACCTCCTGCCTACTTACCTCCATCCTTTATCTCTTCTTGCCTACCTCCACCCTTTATCACCTACGTATCTCCATCCCTTAACATTACCATCTACCTACTTACCTCTATCCTTTATCACCTCTTACCTGCCTCCCCCCTTTATCACCTACCTATCTCCATCCCTTAACATTACCATCTACCTACTTACCTCTATCCTTTATCACCTCTTACCTGCCTCCCCCCTTTATCACCTACGTATCTCCATCCCTTAACATTACCATCTACCTACTTACCTCTATCCTTTATCACCTCTTACCTGCCTCCCCCCTTTATCACCTACGTATCTCCATCCCTTAACATTACCATCTACCTACTTACCTCTATCCTTTATCACCTCTTACCTGCCTCCCCCCTTTATCACCTACGTATCTCCATCCCTTAACATTACCATCTACCTACTTACCTCTATCCTTTATCACCTCTTACCTGCCTCCCCCCTTTATCACCTACGTATCTCCATCCCTTAACATTACCATCTACCTACTTACCTCTATCCTTTATCACCTCTTACCTGCCTCCCCCCTTTATCACCTACGTATCTCCATCCCTTAACATTACCATCTACCTACTTACCTCTATCCTTTATCACCTCTTACCTGCCTCCCCCCTTTATCACCTACGTATCTCCATCCCTTAACATTACCATCTACCTACTTACCTCTATCCTTTATCACCTCTTACCTGCCTCCCCCCTTTATCACCTACGTATCTCCATCCCTTAACATTACCATCTACCTACTTACCTCTATCCTTTATCACCTCTTACCTGCCTCCCCCCTTTATCACCTACGTATCTCCATCCCTTAACATTACCATCTACCTACTTACCTCTATCCTTTATCACCTCTTACCTGCCTCCCCCCTTTATCACCTACGTATCTCCATCCCTTAACATTACCATCTACCTACTTACCTCTATCCTTTATCACCTCTTACCTGCCTCCCCCCTTTATCACCTACGTATCTCCATCCCTTAACATTACCATCTACCTACTTACCTCTATCCTTTATCACCTCTTACCTGCCTCCCCCCTTTATCACCTACGTATCTCCATCCCTTAACATTACCATCTACCTACTTACCTCTATCCTTTATCACCTCTTACCTGCCTCCCCCCTTTATCACCTACGTATCTCCATCCCTTAACATTACCATCTACCTACTTACCTCTATCCTTTATCACCTCTTACCTGCCTCCCCCCTTTATCACCTACGTATCTCCATCCCTTAACATTACCATCTACCTACTTACCTCTATCCTTTATCACCTCTTACCTGCCTCCCCCCTTTATCACCTACGTATCTCCATCCCTTAACATTACCATCTACCTACTTACCTCTATCCTTTATCACCTCTTACCTGCCTCCCCCCTTTATCACCTACGTATCTCCATCCCTTAACATTACCATCTACCTACTTACCTCTATCCTTTATCACCTCTTACCTGCCTCCCCCCTTTATCACCTACGTATCTCCATCCCTTAACATTACCATCTACCTACTTACCTCTATCCTTTATCACCTCTTACCTGCCTCCCCCCTTTATCACCTACGTATCTCCATCCCTTAACATTACCATCTACCTACTTACCTCTATCCTTTATCACCTCTTACCTGCCTCCCCCCTTTATCACCTACGTATCTCCATCCCTTAACATTACCATCTACCTACTTACCTCTATCCTTTATCACCTCTTACCTGCCTCCCCCCTTTATCACCTACGTATCTCCATCCCTTAACATTACCATCTACCTACTTACCTCTATCCTTTATCACCTCTTACCTGCCTCCCCCCTTTATCACCTACGTATCTCCATCCCTTAACATTACCATCTACCTACTTACCTCTATCCTTTATCACCTCTTACCTGCCTCCCCCCTTTATCACCTACGTATCTCCATCCCTTAACATTACCATCTACCTACTTACCTCTATCCTTTATCACCTCTTACCTGCCTCCCCCCTTTATCACCTACGTATCTCCATCCCTTAACATTACCATCTACCTACTTACCTCTATCCTTTATCACCTCTTACCTGCCTCCCCCCTTTATCACCTACGTATCTCCATCCCTTAACATTACCATCTACCTACTTACCTCTATCCTTTATCACCTCTTACCTGCCTCCCCCCTTTATCACCTACGTATCTCCATCCCTTAACATTACCATTATCATTGTTATTTTCATTACCATCATTGCTATTATCACTGTTATCATCATCATTAGCAATGTCATTACATTATTGTCATCATCCGTGATAACTATTATTACAATTGTTGTTGTTACTATTAGCAGTAGTAGTTGTAGCATTGACATCATCACCATTAGTGTAGTTGTTCTGTTACTGTTGTTGGTATCGTTATCATTGTTAATAATGTTGTTATTACTATTGTCATTATCAGTATTTGTTATCATCATTATCATCATTATCATTTTCGTTTCATTCCGTTTGAAAAGGAGGAAGAGGAGAAAGGAGAATAGGAAGAATAATAGTAGTAGAAGAATGATAAAGAGAAATACACTCACACCAAAAGAAAATCAAACAAACGAACATGCAAACATACATACAAACAGAAAAAGACGAACAAATAA